AAAAAAAGTTGGGAAAAATCTGCCGCATTTCCTTTAGCTACACATAACACAGTCATGGAACAATCTTATTATTATATCCAAGAAAATGCCACATGGCTAATTGAGTGTGCATAGCTCTTAGTCCTTTTATATGGTACCATTTCCCTGCCCCAAAAATTAGAAAGAAAACAAAGAAAACCCAAAATACATACATTTTGTTGTTGAGCAAAACAGTGCCTTATCCTTCTTTCTTTTATCTTAATACTATATAGTCAGTGCAGGTTTCTAGAAGTGTCCCCTGGAGCCAATCAGGGTTTTTGTGTGACACTGTGACATTGCAAGTTAGTTTTTCCTTGCAGAGAAGGTCCTGAGAAAACAGCTCTGAGGTTGGGGCAACTTGTTTGCAAAGTGGGTTATTTTGGTATTTCTGCAGAGGTTGCAGGTAATGGAAACCTTGCTCAGGGCAAAGAACCACAGGATTGGTTGTTACACCTCACACTTCAATTTTCTGGCTCTTCTCCTCTTAGCTCTTTAGCGCTTCCAAACAAGGGCATTTGCTTTGTATTTGGGTAATTCTGTCTTTGAGCTCACACATGTGAGAGGCTGTCTGGCTGTAGGAAGGGAGTAACAATGCCTTTACTGATGCCAGACTCCAGTCTCAACAAGCTTTGCTCTGTCCATTTCTGTTCTCATAAAAGTAGTGCTATTGAAACATGCAATGGTGTCCTTTTGAGTTGGCTTTGAGAACATGAAATCACCTTATTACCTTTGAATTTCATTTTAGACCTATTGGTAAAACCTGGTTTTTCAAGGGAAATGGACCCCAAGTCCAGTGTTCACATAGGGCTGTGACCAAACAGTGCTATGATTCCCCTAGACCCCAACATGACATGATTTCAGTCTCATATGACATTTTAAAAATGAAGGCACCACATGCACACTGTCATGTAGAGTGGATTTTCATGTGCCTGATATTACCCCAACCTCCTCACCTTTTTAGCAGTCAGTTTTTCTCATTTATTTCTAAACTTTATGAAACAATTTGAACTTCTCTGTTGGGAAGTTGAAGCCCAAACATTTATAAGCTGAGGCAATAAACATGATTCAGGTTAATAACATTTACACACATGGTTTGTTCTAGTTTTGGACCTACTGTACCTCAACTGGATTTAAAATAAGTGGATGCAATGCTGTACAAACCTGATGTGTGACTATTAATAAAGTTCAGTGTGATAGCATGAACATAAGCTCAATGATAGGGTTCTAAAACTAAATGGAAAAAATTGTAACATGAAATTCATGAAAATGCTCCTTTGTTCAGAGAAAAAAAATAGGTTAAGCTATGAGACTCAGTCATGCATTGCATAAATTTACATTCAATAAAGTTATCTTGCATGCTTTGGTTAATATTTTAGTAGGCAGATTTGTAAGTATTGATGCATGCAATATTTTTGTACCTGAGGTTATATGTGTAGCTTCTTAAAAATTGCCATTTTTACAAACTTTATGCCAGAGTTCATCTATGAACACTCTTTAAAAATATATATGTATCTACTTCTTTGTTCAAAACAGTTTAATTTCAACCAGCTCTATAAATACTGAGATGATAGGAAACTGTGCAGGGAAATACGGATAGGGGAGGAAATGGAAACTATTTTATAAAGTTGAGATGATATGTGTGCAAGCATCATAATTTCTAAAGTTAGAGGGGGTATAAAAGATGACACATGAATCAAACCCTCCAATTCTAAATACCCTGTTTCTAGATTACTTTTAGAAGTGTTTCCAGATATAAAACAACTACCATTACTAGGACAACTAACTTCAAATACAGTCCAGTCTTATGAAACTGAGGGGCAAATGAGGAAGGGACAAAAAATGACCATCTTGCATTCTCTTATATGATAGTGGGATGCCTATTACACAAAGGATTAGTTAACTTGTTATAATGGAAAATATATACCAGTATGACTTATCCCTATACTTTTAGTCCCAAGATTTGACACAGTAGTGAAAAATTCGGTAAAAGAATAAGGAATGTCGCATCAAGTATGCAAGTGAGTGTATCTTGAACATTCTTACCTGTTGAGTATCACTACTTTGCTTTTCTGATAGAAATCCTGACTAGCTAAGAAAGCACAACTCAGATTTTATTAAAGATGTGTGGCAGACAAGATCTGCCTTTCAGGAGTCAAGGGCAAATGACCTTGGAAGTAGGTCTAGGGAATGAAGAAACAGTATGATTGGCCCAGGAAGAAGGTACTCTTCCTCTACTCCAGCCTTCCTCCTCCCTCTCAGCACAGAAAAACAGCTAACCAGAAATAGCTAAGCTTTGAAATTCAGCAATGAGCTCATGCTTTCTTTACATTTTCAACTAGCCTACTGGGGAAGTCAGTCCCTGAAAGTCACCTTTATGCATCTACATGACCCTTTTGGTGCAAGAGTGCCATTCTCTAGAAGCTCTTACACACACACACACACACACACACACACACACACACACACACACACGAACTCAAAGTATGCCCAGAGTTCCTACCAAGGGAACCAAGGACACCTGTTCCTTCAAATAAATAGTAAGAATAAATTAAATGACAATTTTGTATCAAGATGATGAGACACCAAAAACAGCTGTGCCTTAAAAACGTGTATACACTTTAAAAATGCATAGGTTGTTCACAATAAGTAGCTTCATAAGCTTTGCTACCTGATTTCTGCTGGTGCACTATTTCTATAAGCTTTCACTTTTTTTTTTTTTTGCTTTTTTGCTTAGTGGCAGCCAAATAAAACTAAACTGTCCTTCATTTACCCTACTTTCAGACTTTAAATTGTCATTGGCTTCCTGTATGGGGTATCAGCAAGGTTGAGAGAGCATCACATCATTATTGTAACTTCACTAGGAGAGCACTTCTTCACTGCTTTAAATCATTTGTTAGAGGCTCCTAGGACTAAGACAGATTCAACTGGCCAATCAGGCAAAGTGCAAAAACTGTGAAGAAGAGGGGCAAGTAGAGAAAGGATACTGGTCTACTAGGAATAACCCAACAGGCAGCAACTGTGGAAACTGATCCCAAAAGTCTTCCATAGACTGGATTTCTAGGAGTCTGGAATTTGGAAAAATATCATTCTTGAAAATGTTGTGGAACTTTACTTTGTATCTGGGGAAGTGTGGGCTGAAACTGAGTGGTTACTACTGTCCCACAGTGAGTGCTCAATGCCTATTTTCTTTTGCTCACCTGGGACCATCACCTTGCCCTAGACATCTTGAACTGTGAGTGTCAACTTGGCACCCACCACTCTCAGGGCCCTCAACCCTTTGTCTTTGCAAATGAGAATGACTTATGAAATATATATAATCCTCAAACTTGTGGTTTCATTTTAACGTGAGGCTCCTCCCATCCTGGAGACTTCAAGGTCGGAGAGGTGAGGGTTAAAATCTGCATTTAGCATTCAATTAATTAGATTTTTCAGCATGTGTGCATATTTCAGACTTAATGGAAACTTATTTTCCAAACTTTTTGGCCAAATTCTTGTGTGTGTGTGTGTGTGTGTGCGTGCACGCGCGTATGTGTATAATAAGAACCATTAATGGAATGAGCAATTATTAACTAAAGAACATGATGAAAGGATTGGTAGTAGGCACTGGAACAATGCACAATGAAGGAGATAGGTAGAGAATGATAACAAACATTGGTGTAATTATACATTGGTTAGCAATTTGGGGAACGTTTTTCTAATACTTCAAAGGTGTATCTTTCAAAATCATCGCACTCCAAACACATACATACAGCATTGTGAGAAAACGAAGTGAAAGGTAACCAATGGAGTGAAACACCACTGCCAACTGAAATTCCCAATACTTGCTAAATGTTTAAGATAATAAGAGCCAAAGGGACATGCATCTTTTGTATTAAACTGATGGCATTCAGTGAGATCCAGTTAGAAAAGGCTGAGCTTCTATCACTTAGAATGCAAGAAGGTGAACAGTGCAGATTCTTATGGAACTAAGAAAACACATAATTCTTAGGAAAAATGTATTTATCACTCTTAAGAAACATCATTTAAAATATTAACAGTTTAAAAGGAATATTGTTGTGCAGGGCAATTAGAAAGCCAGTAAAATATGACACTTAAGCAAGTTAATGCAAACTCAAGAGAAATCACGGTCTCGTGAAACTTTGTTCTGGTAAAGAAAGCATCAGGAGACCGATGGTACCTTGTCAATTATTTCAGTTCCTACAGTCCTGGGAAGCATGTGCATAAGATCTGAGTTTGCCATATTTATACCTTGTGTCATACCAGTTTTAAGAAAACACTCCTTCAAAGCCTACACTATGAAAAACTATTTTCAGGATTTTTAAATTTGGTCCGTTGATCTAACAAGGTTGAATTCTCAAATCTTTCACCCCCAAGTTAAAAATTGGAGCAACAAAACAAAACTCCAGCAAGGCATACATAAGATAGTAAAGTGCATATATACAATCCCAGAAAAATTTGGATTGGGAACAGCAAAAATTTCTAGTGCAAAAACTGCTTTTGCCAGCAAAGCTTGCTCTCTCTCTCTGGAATCAAAGGGTTACAGAAAAGTTAAAATTGGAACAGGTTTAAGCAATGCCTGTCTTTAGTCAAGAGTTAATATATGTGCATGCACCCACAGCCCAAACTATGTTCAGTCTTGCAAAAGGGGGCTTCCGGGGACAGTGTTGAAGCAGCCAGCATTCCCTAATCTGAGGCAGTGCTTCCTTTGTGCGTCCTGAGAGCTGCAACTCTCTCAGCTGCAACTGGGAACAAAGCATCCAGTGAACAGTTCTGCAACGTGCCTGCCCCTGGCGAAGAGCATTCTTGAGTCTCAGTTCTTCTTCTGAACCTGACCTCGAGTCTACCTACATAGAACATTTTGTGCTTTTGGATCTGAACAGAGACTGGGCATTGTCTGTAGGAATTCTCTTCTGAGATATATGACCTTGGCCTTTTGAATATCTGATATATTCTTTTTGAAATTCATAATAAAATAGTTTTTGATTTCTCGATATGGTTATACAGATGACGGAGTATTATTATTATTTTTTATTGGTTTCTTTTCCTTCAAGGATCCAAGTTGAATGCTCTTAGGAGAACATCCAGGTCACCAAGATTAGCCGCCTGGAAGAGTTCCGGCTGGTCCATCAGAGACAGCGCGATCCTGAGGGCAGCCCAGATATTCCCAGAGATTGCAGGATGAGGAACTTGCTGCTGATTCCTGCTCTTCCTTTGCAAGCTGAGGGCGGTGAGGAAATTACTGACCGCTTCTCTAAGAGGGTAGAAAAACAGACATCTTAAAATTGCAATTAGATCAAAACTTAAAAAAAAAATACAACCAACAAATCAAGTTATTTTAGTGTTAAATCCAAAATCATCTCTCCATGGCACTTTGAATGGTCAGATGAACAACCTTCTGATTTATTATTCTTTCGTGAACATCGTTAAATAGAGTAGAATCAGCAAATAAAAAGCAAAAAGTTAATTTAGGAATGTCCTGCAGGAGAGAAAGAATGATAGAGAATCACTGACTCACTAATGCATTTGGCTTCTCTCACACCAGGGATGATGCGAAGATTTCATCCCTCTGCAGATATGATTTCTATAACCGAGCTTAGTGGAAGATGATAAAGCTGCTCATAAACAAAGTGGTCTAACTTGTTCTTTTACTGATAGAAATTCAGAAAGTAGATAGGGTGAGGTTGATTTACTATCAGGGACTCAGGGATAGAATCCTAGTTATTTAACGTTACTTAGATCTTTTCTGCTATGCTGGCTCAGTTTCCCCAAAAGTGGAACAGAGGGAATAGAAGTCATGGTGAACCCTTATGAGCGGGGTTGATGTTGTGGCATAGCTCATTAAGCCATTGCCTGGGATACCACTACACTTCCCATTGAGCTCCCTGCTAAAATAATCTGGAAAAAGCAATGGGAAATGGTCCAAGTGTTTGGGCCACTCCCACCCATGTAGGAGACCTGGAAGTTGTTCCTGGCTTTGGCTTGGCCCAGTGTTGGCCATTGAGGCCATCTAGAGAGTGAATCAGTGGATGAAACGTCTCTCTGTTTTTCCCCTCTTCTCTGTAATTCTTCCAAAGTAAATAAATAACTCTGTGTTTTTAAACCTTGTCCATGTGGTTTAATCCATTCATATGAAAGCTCTGAACTTGAAGTAAATCAATAGTTCTCAAAGTACAGTCTGGGAAAACTTGGGGGTTAGTGAGGTCAAAATGATTCTTACAATGAACTGAGATATAATTTTGCCTTCTTAGTTTTATTTTTTTATATGAGCATATATCTAAGTTTTCAGGGACTAAGTATTTATTCCAACATATCGGATACAGAACCAGATAGAGTGTGCACGTGATTAAATAAACTTATGAAACTATAAAAGCAACATCACTCTTGAACTTTTTTTTATTCACTGGCTTTAGAAAATCATTATACCATTGCAAAATATATGCTTTATGTTTGTATGTAGTAAGTTTAATTAATTCTAAATCTAAGCTGTCCTCAGTTTGATTTTTTCTTTCAAAAATATTTTATTTTCATTTGAAAGGCAGATTCTTACCTCTCTCAAGGAAAGAGAAGAAGAGAGAGAGAGGTATTCCGTGGTTCAATGGCCAAAGTTGAACTCATCTGAAGCTGGGAGCCAGGTATTTCTTCCTAGCCTCTCATGTGGGTTTGGGAGCCCAAGGCTGTGGACCATCTTCTGCTGCTTTCACACAGCATAAGCAGGGAGCTGGATTTGAATTGGAGCATTGGGGACACAAACCGTGCTCATGTGGGATGCATGCACTTGCAGGCAGAGTTTTAGTCTACCCACTGTGCTTGCCTCATTCTTTAATTTCAACATGCTAAACATGAGACTAATTAAACAATTTGTAGAAAAATAAAATTAAAAGATAAATTATTTTGGTCCAAATATTTTAGAAATCTATGCAGGTTTTTTTTTTCCACTATAGGTACTTTTTCTATGAACTTTCCGAAACTTTTGCTTGTAGTAAGTTTCAGCATTTTTGGCTCATAATAAACACCTTTTAAACCCATTTTACAAACATTTTAACATACTCTCAGATAATGCAAATGAAGGACTATGAACAGCCTCAAGGCGAAAGAGATTGTTAGGAGCCCAAGGAATTGAGCAGCTCAAGGATCCTTCCAGGTCCTTCCAGGTCCTCTAGCTCATTGTTGCTCAGGCACGGACAGACTTCTAGGTGTGCTCTCCATGGAAACTCAACACCGAATTATGTACCTGACAAACTAACCCTTGCCAAGAAAAATCATATCAGTTCAATTTGTGTCTACTTTTTTCAAGACTTCTTCACACATATTATCTCACTTAATTGTGTAAGGTAGTTACTAAGCATGGAATAAGAAACCTTGAAAGTGAGGCTATGTTTCCAATTGCACCACACACTATCCAGGTATTTGCTTGTCTGCCCTGCTAGATTGTCCTGACAGTAAGAGACAGTTGGAAAGGGTCCTGTGTGTAATAGAAGGAACCTGAGTAATAGAAGGAAATGGGTGTAGACAAAGATAGAAAATCTAGTATCATACTGTCAAGCTATGTATTAACTATTACATTGGGCATCCTTCTTTTGGATAGAAAACGTGTAAGGCAATGTGAGTTCACTTTCTGGTAGGTTTAAAACTAATATTTAGTTCCCGCTTTTCCAATTATGAAGGTAAAACTTGCTTACTTAGGAAACAGAAAAGCAGAAAAGACAAAAAGATCACCCTGTCATTATGGTCATGTATGGTCCCTGCCAAGCGGGAAAAAGAAAAATATACCTGCATGACATCTGGGCTGTTGGCTTTGCTTTCCTAAGTATTGGTTCTGGGACTTCCTGCTGTCCTTTGGCAGGACCCTATCCAATGCCCCATCCTACCCCATCAAGATTCCTTTTATTCTTAACTGTGCATGCTTCTCAAACGTGTTCTTGAGGGGATGTTGAGAACTCGGGACTCTCAGCCTTATCCAGGCTGGCCAACATCAAGTCCCTGGGAGAGGAGCATGGACAACTAGACCAGTTCCGTGTGGCTCTCTCGAAAGCTAGAGACCCAGACATCCTGGTGGTTCCCAGGGACTCAGGCCTTGTCTCCAGATCTACTGTTTAGAGGAGGGACATCCCCGCTCCCCCCACCCCCCACTACAAAGGGAGGAATTTTTATTTGGAAACACTGTTTCTGTTCATCCAGTCTCAATCCTGAGTAAGGTTTCTGATTCTCAGGCTGTCATCACATGTCACCTGTAGGCTCCCAGGTTGATGCAGCTGATGCCCAGGTTGTATCTGGAGCGGATGAAGCCTGGCTGGATCTCCAGTGCTCGCGTGTAGGCCTCCACGGCTTCCTCACTGCGGTCTCCGTTGGCCAACGTTGCCCCGAGACGGTTCCATAATGAATAGTCCTGATGACAAAGCGAGAGCTTTCTAACAACCCATACAAGCCACAGGGACAGAGTGTGTCTACACAGGAGATAAGAGGGCTACAAACTCATCCAGGACTCACAGACAAGGGCCATACGAGGTGAATGACTTGGAATTTTTTATGAACAACTTTGTGAAATGACTCTCATTCATTACAAAGTAGTTAACTATTTGATGCTGTCATTAATTGATGATGCTAATTTGGTTTGTCATTTACACTGATCACTTTCAACCACCGAAGCAGGGAAATTAAGTGTACAAGTAGTGTGAAGGGTGTAGCCTGTGAAGACACACTGAAAAGATTTCTGCCGTGTTTTCTGTCCTTGTCTCCTTACCTCTGGCCGGACAGTTAAGGCAGCGTTAAATGCATCAATTGCTCTGTTAAATTCTCCACTCAGGTGGAAAAGAACTCCCAGCCCTGTCTGTAGATCTGGGTCAATCATGTCTCCATTTTGGTGGGCAGCTTCCAGATATAACTCTTTCACTCCTTCCAGAACAGCACTATGAAGAAAAAAAAATCGGATTTATAATTTAAATAGCCTGGACATAAAAGATTTACTATTAAATCTCCTGACACTATTTTAAGAAGTCTCTTTTCATTACAGATTTGAAAATTTTGCTTAAAATATCTTAGCTTAATGAGATAGCTATTAATACTGAATACTGAGCATATCGGTGATTTTTCATAAAACATTTTGTGAGACAATGAGTCGGGCTGTTTTAAGAAAAATCTTCAAAAAGAAAGTTCAGCTGGCCCCGTGAGCACTGAAGTGAAGAGCCCTATAGCTTTTCTAAGGCCTCAGTGAGAATGGATTTAACATCAGGATTTATAGCTGATGAACGCAATTCCTAGAAGAAAGGACTTTAATTTTTCTTCTTCCTAATCTGCAGACTTTCTAAACTTGCAGCATTACTGTAGGTGAGTTAGAGGTTCCAAACATTTGGCCTTAACATGGGGGACCCAGATAGATGTTTGCAGGTGGCCCCTCTGCAGGTCGTGTGTCCGAAGGCTGGTTCTAGACTCAGCATGAATATTCTTACTCAGGGCTCCTCTTCTTGCAGAATGTTGTCCAATAGCCTGGCCTGGAGCAGGTCGTGGTGGGGATCTGAGATTGGTTAATTACCCTGAAGGTGATGGAACTGAATGTATGGGTGTTGACTGCTGCCTGGAATACAGTGGGAAGGATACCTGTCAACCGGGGTCTTGGACAACCGCCGAGTGAGACCAGGAGATCCTTTCTTGCTCTTCACAAGGTATTTGTACTTTGGATTTTGCCTAATCCAGTTCTTGAGAGCATCACACGCATCTTGCTGGTGGCCAGTGTTGGTATAGCTCACAGCCAAAGCCATCAGAGCTTTCAAATTGTTAGGCTGCAATTCTAAACACCTGAAAGAAGACAAAAACAAAATGGAACAGAAAAACAGCAAGCAATTTCAGATATTTTTTCAAAGCAGCAACTAACAGTTTGTCAGAAAATTTGAAGTTTTTAATAATTAGATATTACAGAAGAATTATTAAGTTTATTGATGCCAAGTCCCTGGAAAGCACCATAATTGTCTACATGAAATTGTGACCTAAACTTGGTTTTTAAAAGTTACAAGTCATCCCAATGATTGGTGTGTGTCTGGTCATTTTTAAAAAAGACTTATTTCTGTTGGAAAGGCTGAATTACAGAGAGGAAGAGGAGATATCTATCTATATATTTTAAGATATTTATATATCTAGATATCTATATCTATATCTATCTATATATTTTTCATTCACATGTTGATTCACCTCCCAAATGGCTGCAATGATTGGAGTTGGACAAGCCCGAAGCCAGAGACCAGGAGCTTCTTCAGGGTCTCCTACATGGGTACAAGGGCCCAGAGACTTGGGCCATCTTTTGCTTCCCCAGGCCATAAACAAGGAACTGAAGTGGAAGTGATACAACTGCGACTTAAACCAATGCCCACACGTGATGCAAGTACCACAGGCTGAGGATTACCTTGTTATACCATGGCATTGGTCCCTAGGCTTGGCAATTTTAACAAGTGGTTTTAAAACTACAAGAAATGCCTGGCACAGTAGCCCGGTAGCTAAAGTCCTCACCTTGCACGTGTAGGGATCCCATATGGGTGCCGGTTCTAATCTCAGTGGCTCCGCTTCCCATCCAGCTCCCTGCTGTGACCTGGGAAAGCAGTTGAGGACGGCCCAAGGCCTTGGGACTCTGCACCCATGTGGGAAACCCAGAAGAGGCTCCTGGCTCCTAGCTCCTGGCTTTGGATCGGCTCAGCTCTGGCTGTTGTGGCTGCTTGAGGAGTACATCAACGGATGGAAGGTCTTCCTCTCTGTCTCTCCTATTTGTATAGCTGACTTTCCAATAAAAATAAAATAAATGTTTAAAAAAATGACAGGAAATGTGGCTAATAACCACTGACTCACTTCCAGACGTGGAGGTAGGAGATAAGGGCATGTTAAGTGGCTGTTATATATTGTGTATATATATACATATATATGTATATGTGTATATACATATGTGTATACATGTATATGTACACACACACACTGTATATCTGTAGATATGTGTACTATACATCTTAACCTTTCCTGATCCCACATTTTCTCCTCTGTAGGAAGAAAAACTCTCTATGCACCAGGAACCTTTCCACCGTAAGATATCAATGGAATCTTGAAATCTAGAGTTGCAAGTGTATAGAATCCTTGCACTCTGAGGTCTAAAGCTCTAACATTCACACCATACACAAGGACAGACACACACATGGTACATCCATCTAATACACACAAACACATATGTGTACACTCTTCCTATAGCGCTATACTAAACATGCTTACAGAAAAGGGAAGGGAAAATAGAAGCTTATTTGGTAGAAGCTTTTCCCCAGGGTGTAATAAGAACCCTAATCAAGTGAGGCGTGATGCTATACCTAGCCACTGTTCCCATCTCTACTCAGAAAGTAGTAGGAACTTTTAGTCAGAATTTTGAGCACATTTTTGTTAAGAAAACATTCAGATGTTGCAGAAAATTAGAAAGCAAATATGAACTATTTCTTTCTGACTGCTTTATGATTGGTTTAACACAGGCTTTCCATTGTGCTAGCAAATGTCCATTCATTTGCATATATTAGGAACATTATTCCATTGTAAGTTCTTATTTTCCAGAGTTAAATGTAAGCAAAACAAGGGCACGTCAGTGCTTACATTAGCCAATTTTTCTCTCATTGTTTTTTTTAAAAAAATTTATGTATTTGAAAGACAGAAAGAGGGAGAGACTCCTCCAGCAGCTAGTTCAGTCCCAGATGCCTAGCTGAAGCCAGGAGCTGTGATTTCCACATGGGCAGCAGGGAGCCTGGGCACTTGAGTCATCCTATTACCTTACCAGACACATGAGAAGGGGGCTGGATAGCAAGCAGAGTATCTGGGATTTGAACCAGTTCTCTGATATGGGATGTAAGTTTTCTGATATGTAAGTGGTGGCTTAACCCACTGTGGGCTAATGCCAATCTCTTTGATAAAATCTTCATACTGAATTTAATAGGGGTCAAAAGACAACCGTAAAACACAAGTCCATTAACAAGTGTCCATGAGTTCCAAAATTTTGCACTTAGCTTCATCTACCTCTGGAGGGCGACAATGGCTGCTTGTTCATTTTCATTCTCGGCTTGTGTTATCCCGAGGAACTGCCACGCCTGTGAAAACAACTGCAGTTAGTATTGCAAGACGAAGCAGGTTACTGAAGGGCGTTTTGGATGTGGTTACCCATGAACGATTCCCCAGAAGAGCAGTCTGATTTAGATGTCAGAACTACGAAAAGGGAAACTAGCACACGCTTATTCCCTTCAAACTCTCCTGTGACATATGGGTCCAGATCCTCTGCCTTTAGTTCCAAACTCTTTTAGTATTTGTCTTTTCAGTATCCAGGTACTTTGTAAACCTCTGAATTTCTGAGATTTGAGGATACTAAGTATCTTAAAATATAAAGATTAAAAAAAAACTTATATAACCACGATTAAAAATAGTCCCAAAATGTATCTAAGTAAAGTTTGCCATAGACAGCTCAAAATGTACAACACAAAATTAACTTTCAGAAAGGAATGAGTATCTGATATTTATTAGAAGAATATTTAGGAAGCAAGAGATGCAAACTCAAGCACATGGAGAGTAGGCTTTATTTTGATTTCACCTTCCATGTGGCTCAAAGTGCTGCTTGCTACAAGCCGGAAGAAGCAGTTGCTCTGAGAACGTCTTCCCAGCCTTGGGTCACGGTGCATCCTCATTACCCACAGGGTGTTCAATATCCTGACTTGGGGTTTCCACAGATTCTGGAGTCTGGGGTCCTTGCCTGGGATGCAGTGATTACCAAGAGCCCTGCTTGTTTGGATTTATGAACCTGGGATGGCAATATATACTTGAACAACTAAAAGTTACGGTATCAAAGGATACACATGAAAACATCACGTAAAAACACATAGCATTCACCTATGGATGACAACTGTGACGCTGTTTTGGGGGAGAATAGACTGTAGTTTTATACTAATGTTATTAGTATTTCTGCAATGACTCATATTTTTAAAAATTCCAACATTTGAGTTCAGAATTTCAGAGCAAAGGTCAGTTTCATTTCACTGTAATCATCTGGAGAGAAAAGATATTACAGTTTTAACTAGTAATCAGTTTCTTTATGATTTTCATGCAAACTAAATACACCTAAAATATTTTAGGCTAAACATTAATGTGCCAGACACTGAGCTGAGCACTTTGCCTGTATGAACTGATTTAATCCTTATGACACTTAATGAGATGGCTACTATCACGAGTTCCACTTCACAGACGAACAACTATGAAGAGCTTCTACAATTTGTCGTGGATGACATGGCCAGCAGGTGTGACAGGGATGTTAGTCTGTTCAGGTCAGCAGAGACTAGAGGTCTAACCCCACCTCTATGTTGCCTTCTCAGGGCCATTATTTCTGCAAGTTCCTCTGGGAATATCCTACCAGGGGTGACTCCTGGAGATTTAAACTAACAAAGAAGCCCGCCTACTCCTGCCACAACCTTACCACAGGCTTCAGAGGTTTGGAAAGAAGGTTGCAGAAGCTACATGGGAGGCTTAAAGCTTCTGTTTCCAGTAGCCCTGCCCATCTCAACTAAGAGATTTTTCTAATAGGCAATCTGACCAGATGCCACTTCGGGGAGCCGTCCCTGCGTGGCATCTCATGAGTTTCAGGTGACATTCAACTCTTGCCTAATTCTTCTCATCTTCCTTTCTACCTGGCATGACATGTCTGCCCATGCACCATTCTCTCTTAACAGCTCGGCTCTCCTGTTGTTTTTCATTTCTCCCCTCCTAAGACTCAGCTGTGGATTCATAGCACCTAGCTGTGGAAGGTGCGACAGGAGTCCTTTCTGCTCTCCTGGCATCCTGCATTCTGTGACTCAGCATGTCCTACCTCACACTGACCTCTTCCCCCAGATGGATCACATAGGTGGCTTCAATCGCCCAGCTGCTCCGTGTCTTAAGCCAGGCCCTGATGCCATATTTGCAATGCAGCATATATTCAATAAACATTGAATGAGGAAATTGAGGGTGATTTTTCGTGTTACCTGAGACCAGACAAAGCTACATGTTGCCCTCTGAGAACAACTGCTGAGTTTTCAGATTGGTGATTTGGATTGTTCATTTCTTGCCCTCAACTATTATCTTCAGACACTGTAGGCACTGCAGTAAGGTCTTGCTTATAAATCAGGTGATTATTTTTAATTTTCAAACAGATATACTAAGCTCTGTAAACTCAAGAATTTTTCTATAGTGAAAACCTCGGGTCATCTGGTCTCCCTCACTGGCGCAAGCAGCAGGATGAAGGAGGAATGGCACCTCGGCATCTCCGGGGTCCTGAAGAATTGCTGCCTCCATGAACAGGATGGTGACTGGCAGGTCCCCTTCTTTCAATCTCTTCAGACCTTCTTCAAACGCTCCTGGCCAGTCCTTGAAGGGATTCTCAGTGTGAAAGTAATAGCCCTACAACACAGACAAGGACCCTTAGACCATTGATGGATTTATGGATTTGCAGCTGCAGTAAGTTCTCTGTAACTTTGAATTTACTTCTTGTAACATTCTAGTTTATACAACTTCAGTGTTTGCTTATTTTAAAAAATGTTTACTATTTTAAATCATAAATGTAGTAAATTTTAATTGTATACATTTTTATGACCTTATAAAATGTTAGATAATAAGGAATAATAGTATAAAAAGAAACAAAAAAAGTATTCACATTGTCAACAATCTAAATACAATCACTGTTAATAGTTTTCAATTTGTTCTTCTGCTGGTATTTCCTTCTTTTTTTCTTTTTCATTTTCCCCTAACATTTAAAAAACTCCTAGTTGTTCAAAATCTGTCTGCAAAGTGCTGCCTCTCCACTCCCCTCAAACACAGTATCACATACTGCTCACGGGCACTTCAGTAAGCTTGCAGAAAAAAGGAACAGAAAGATGAGTTTAATGCAGAGACATTGAGGTTCATGCACAGGTTTTTCATAATGTGCCTTTCTATGGGTTTTGGATACTCCCTTATGCATTTTTTAGCACTATGTCCCTTGGACAGCTATAAATTAGTGCAATATTTGTTTTTCTTCTATCCTGAGCAAGGTTGTGCTCCACTGGGGATCATATTATCCTTGTTGGGATTACATGTTTAAAAATATGAACACTCTTTAATTGTAAAAATTAAAACATTGGGGCCTGGCGTGCTAGCCTAGTGGCTAAAGTCCTCGCCTTGCACGTACTAGGATCCCCTATGGGCGCCGGTTCTAATCCCAGCCACCCTACTTCCCGTCCAGCTCCCTGCTTGTAGCCTGGGAAAGCAGTCGAGGATGGCCTGGTTCATTGAAGTCTTCTGTTCAAATCTTTGCCTGAATTTGTTTGTCAGATTACTTGTTATGAACTGGTTTTGGGTCCTTCATGTATACAGTCATTTCTTTGAAAGTTTGTCCTAACTTAAATTTCTGCCTGAAGTATTGAAGAAATATTGTTTGTTCCAATCAAACTAGTATCCAATATACATTAGCAAAAAAATTGTCTAAATAAACACATAAAAGTCAGTTTTCCACTGATGCTGTTGCTAAGACATAAAAATAGATCAACTAGGGGGCGGGTCTTCATTGTCTACAGGTGCTCAGGAAGCAAAACTTATAGTCAAAAGTCACGTGGTCTATGTGGTGTATATGGTGGTGAGGAGGTGGGGTCCCAGCCAGGCCTCAGATGAGTGCGTTTTGGCTCCACATCTGATAGTCTGTATCAGTATTTTCTCCTCTTACTGAGATTTCTTTCCTTTGTGGAGAAGACCAGCTATTTTAAGGGGATGGCTGTCCTGCTTTGATGAAGTTGCCTGGCCTAATGAGGGACAATGAATATTGGTGACGAGGGGCTTTTAAACAACTATGTCGCAAATCTCCTAGAACTAGGGACAGTTTGTCACCCTATTCCCAGCACCTGGTGCAGAGTGGATTTTCCATAAATACATGCTGGACAAAGTAACACAGCATGGTAATTATCCTCGACTGAACGCTGCTGCCACTTCTCCCACCACTGAGGAAACTCTGCATCTTTTTTCTCTCTTTTACCGATTTGATGTATTCCTCAAGTATTTTTTCCCCACATTCAGTGTTTTTTTAAAGCACAGATCCTCTAGCCACTGGGACTCCCTACATAACAAGGCTGATTGCTCACTGCATGGGACGGTTTCTAGGGCTTCTATCTTGGGAGCAGCACTGTGAAATCTCCTTAGGACTTGGTCTGCTAGTGGGAACAGCATCTTTTCCATTAAGTTTCTTCGAAGCTGGATAACTATGGCTTACAAAATAACAGCTGTAGACCACACTTACTTCTTTGCCACGGGTACCACTTCTGTTGTTAACGTGTCGCCAGGACCCCTGTGACTGGCATTCTGGAGTTAGTCCAATTCTTGTTCCAACTCACCTTAAGTGTCAGTTCAGTCACTGGCCAGCAGTTAAGATCCAAGTTTTCCCTGGCTGCTAATCTGGGTGCTGATTAAGATAAATAGCATTTCCTTCCAGTTTGGGTGCCTTGACACACTGGATGACTATGTTGTTTCCATGTATCAGAATTTCTTCTAGGTCAGATTGACACTAAACTGTCTTTAATTTTTTTTTGAAATTGTTATTGACTATCAAACCTTATCTGAACCAGTTGAGAAAATGGGTCAGTGTGTACAAGAGCAGATTTGGTTACCTTCTCACTAGCTGAGATTGTAACTTGAGTCTGGGCTTCTTGGTTCTCGGATATCCAGTTTCTCCTTGCCATTTCTTCCCATTCTGCTTGCATCTTGTCCCAAAACTCTGTATCTGACTAGGAGGCAGGAAAAAAAATGAAGAGAGAGAGAGAGAGAGAGAGAAGATTATGTTATGTCATCGGTTCATTCCCAGAGAAACATTTTTCCTTAAGGATCCAAGCCACTGCCGAGGGCAATGGAAAAGCTCCCAAGTGGCCAGATCCATCGATAATCACAGTTCAAGAGCTTGTGTGGGGTATACAGTGGTCAGGGGGTTGAAGTGGGTCAATTATGACTTTCTTATGATGATGAAAAGTAATTATCATGGAAGGACCAGGATCATATACACCAAATTCAGCTAAAAATCCACTACAGAAACTCCTAGACTTACGATGTTATTACCCACTGTTTATAATTTGAAAATGTTATTAAGTTGAAAATACAGTTAATACACTTATACTACCAAACATCACAGTTTAGCATCACAGGGCACAACAAGACGGTTGATTCTCTTTGGGATTGTGAGAGTGACTAGGGGGCTTCTGCTCCTGTGCAGAATATCAAATCACCTATTGCTAATCTGGGAATAGATCAACAATCAGAATTTGAAACACTGTTCCCACTAAATGAGTATTTCTGTTCCACCATCCAGGAGTTGAAAATTTTCTAAGTTGAATCATTTTAAATAGGGGACCATCTGTACTTAGGCACAGTTTCAAGTGTGGGCATCAGGCACACACTTTAAGAAGAGTGCCTCTCCCTGAATTGCTCTGAAGGTATGAAGAATTAGAACAACTGCTGGGAAACTGTTTGAGCAGTGACCTGGAAAGCTAGTCAGCTGTGGAAAGGGAAAGTAGCACTAGTTGATCCTGCTCTTTCAAGCACTGTGTTGGCAGAAAGCTGACTCAGAGGGCTACCATGCCACAGCCAGAATTCACAGGATCTGAGCTCCAAGCCTGCACTTAATAGTTCAGGGCAAATTTTACCTCTTGGTGCTAAAGAATGAAGGACCCAGGCTTTGGGTATGAAGTTGACTGATTTCTCTCCCAAGCTCTTTTCTATGGCAGGATGATTTTTTTTTTTGAAAACTATCACTTTGTGGGTTTTCCTTCATATGTCTTCTAAAAGGGAAACAGGCCATTTGTTTTTCTTCACCTTCCAGGGGCGGGGGAGTCCTAGAGGAGAGCACAATTCTTCTATAAGAGCTGTCCCTGTTTGGCTTCCATTTAAGCCTTAAGAGAGAACTTAGGGAGTCCAGGGGGAGAAGAAGGAGTGAGTAGTTCACAGAATTTAAGAGTGCTGGGAGCAAGTGTCAGTGGAAGGGAAAAAGCTGGAGGGTGAAGAGTTCTGATGAGTGGTGCTTAGCTTTGAAATGTTTGCCATCCAGTTGGCCTGACCTCAGAGAAGGATGGCTGCCTGGGGAAGGTGTTGGAGAGGGGTGATTAAGGACTCCCTTGGTGAGGAAGAAGAAACTGAAGCCACTTTGGACACAGATGGCTATGAACAGTGCCGTGAGAGACAAGAGGACAGAGATTCTGCCTTTGTTTTCTGATCCTCCAGAAGACACCAGATTTCATCCCTAAGACTAAAGTGTCTGCAAGTTCGCTGAAAGAGATGCCTGGAAACAACTTTGCTTTTCAATAAAGGAAATAAAACCACGAAAATGATATACATTGAATAACCTGCGTCTACAGCTGAATTTCACACTTTTCGTTTGAAAATCCCTATTTCTATGATTCTGAGTCCCGTGACTTGTTGACACCTCCTCTCCACAAAAGCTTAGGAAGGAACAGACCTTCACAACCTGCGTCTGAGATGTGGGAAGCACATGGATCAATTGCTGACTGTCCAGGGAAAGGTCAGCAAGAAAATTCAATTCTTTCTAGTGGATCTCTCTAGTAGAGCACCAAATTGTGCAAACAGGATGACCTCAAATATAACCAATTCTGTGGCTAGTAAAAGTTGAGGAGAATATACACTCCTGTGTTGCTAGTGCTCTGAATGCGGAGAAGGTAGAAGATGATGGGAGATGTTTGTCTTGGTTCTTTTCACTTTTCATTCTTTCTGATTTTTTTCATAGTGAGCATGTTTTGCTTTTATAATTTTCTAATTATAATTTTATAAGTCAGCTCTGGAGAATGCAGGGCAGAGGATTCTGCATAGTTTCTAAGTGCAGAGCATCCCCCATTTTAAAGATTCCTCAAATTTTGGGCAGGTGTTTGGCAAAGGTGTTCAGACTCTGCTGGAGACACTGGTATCCCATATCAGTTCAAGTTCAGGCTCCAGCTCTGATTCGTTTCCTGTGAATGTGCATCCTGGGATGCAGCAGATGCTGACTCCAGCACCTGGGTCCCTGCCACCCACGTGGAAGATTCTGACTTGAGTTTCTGATTCCAGGCTTAGCCTGGGATGTTTTGCATTTTTAGGGAGTGAACCAACAGATGGGAGATGCTCCCTCTCTCTCTTTTGTGTGTCGCTCTGCCCTTCAAATAAAGTAAACCAGCAAGTAAGTAAGCAAATAAAGCTTAAAGTCTATTACATTTCTCCCGATGAAGGAACGAGAGGTGCGCACACCTCTGAGTTACAACAGATTGTTTCTCCTTTCCTACCATCTCTGATTGGAGCAGTAGATACCGAACAGAATGTAGGCCGAGGTGCAGCTGCTGGGCTCCCATTTAATGAGATACCCCAGAATTAACTGTTGCCACTTCAAATAAGTTATTGCTGACTAATTAAAGTGCATGGCACAGTGTTCTTTTTAATTACAGAAGACTACTTTTGGCATAATCAATTTTCATCCAGTCTCAGAATCCAGACTACCTTCAGGTTGCTGCAATTAACACTGTATTCTTTCTATTTTAAATCACTGGTAGAGAAACTTGAAACATACTTGAATTTTAAATGTTTAAGGTATGACTAAGAAGGTTTTACTTACTAATGGTTTTTCCAAATTTCCTGTGATTTTGGTAGGTCATTTTTATTTGTCAACATGTAACAAGGTTACATGTTGCATTAAAAATGAACAATAGTTTGTAAATCATTTCTCTGTTTTCATAATAACTTGTGGATTACAACATATATTCATAAGAAAAATGTATAGGTTAGATGGGTTAAGGAAAGACGCCTCTTATTCAGACAGTCCTGGGACCAAATTACTTGGGTCCAATCTGCTTACCTTTCAAGTGAGGACATAGTAGCAATTTTTCATTATGATGACTAAATGAGAGAATGTATGTATGGTGTCAGATATGTGGAAGGTAGGTGCTCACTGATGGCTTTGTGTCATTGAGAGAAACATGAAGAATGAAAACAAAGTCACCCATATTTTAAAGATGAACATTTTGGTGTTCTAATTTCCTGTCAATACGTATTCTTCTAGAAATCCTCCTTGTCTTCATTTACATCTTCCTTCATACCTAATTAGTTGAAAATAGGAGCAAGGTTAAGATAATTATGTCAGAACCTCTTTGAGGAGTGCTCTATAGCAATAAAATGGTGTTTATTGGGGGCCCATGTTGTGGTGTAGTGGGTCAAGTTGCTGCCTCTGACAATGGCATTCCATTTGGGCGCCAGTCTGTGTTCGGCTGCTCCCCTTCCAGTCTAGCTCTCTGCTGATGTGCCTGCAAAAGCAGTGGAAGATGGTCCAAGTGGTTGTGCCCCTGCCACCTATGCGGGAGATCCAGGTGAGGCTCTTGATTCCCCGCTCCTGGCTTCTGCCTGGCCCAGCACTCACTGCGGCTGATTATTTGAGGAATGATCCAGCAGATGGAAGAATCTCTCTTTAACGTTTTCAAATAAGCACATCTTTCAAAGAAGGGTGCTTATGAAGAGTCCATTATCAACTGAGTAGTCCTTTAATGGCAGTGGGCAGAAAGGCAGCAACACTGGGGAAAGATTAGAAAAGTGCAGCCACAGCACTGCTCTAAGGGATGGGCCTGTTGGGTCATTCATGCCAGCACCTTCCCTTGTACTCCGGACTTCACAGAATTTCCCAAATGTTCTATTGCTAGTGTGTGCTATTTTGGTGGAACATTAAGACTTGGCTAAAGTAAAAAGCTTCTTTTTCGGTTTCAGTTCCTCCTTGATCTCTTCCTTAATGACCTCTCATTAGTACAATTTGCTGCCTCTGAATTCTTTCAACTCTGACAGTCTGTGCCAATGCTTTGGACGAAGAGTGGTGTGTGCTGGGAGACGCCGCTGCCTCATGCAGTTCTGCAAGTCATGCTAGCTACTTGATACGTCCTCTTGCTCCTATGTAAAGTGACGAGTCTGGGCTTGTTACCGCAGGATTCCTTGACTGCGCAGATGGACTCAGATCAGAACAAGGGGAAAGGGAGATGCTAGCACAAGGTCATTTTTTAAAAAGGAGGCTGCTTGCCTATTCACTAATTTCCAAACATTGTATTTCAAAGTATCTTCCAAGAAGCATATTTGACATTTTAAAAGAAAATTTCTTTGAAAGAGTTCCAGAGAAAGACAGACATCTCTGATATAAGACAACCTTCATATAAAATATAAGATAAATAGATACATAGGTAAACAAGTATATACCTATATTTCCAGAGAGATAAACTGTATAATGGAGACTAGCATTCTGGGAGATGGAGAGATGCTGCAGTATGCATCTCTACTCCAGAATAAAAGGAGGACTCCTGATGAAGCTGTTAACCATATCCTGACAATAGGATGCTGGCCTTTCTACTATTGTCTATACCCACAGCGTCATGATACACTTAAATTACAGAATGTTGGACTGTGATTGTTGTTGAAGGACTACACTATTGTTGTCATATATGGAAAACAGTTCATGTAGGCAAAAGTGGGTGGAAGAGGAAATCCTTGTGCCAATGGGACCATATCATGGAAAAAATAAAGAAGGCTAGTCAAAGAAAGAAACCTTTCATTTCTAGTTCCCCAAATGACTAACAGTCAGGATTAAGTGGGGACGAAGCCAGGAACCTTGAATTCCACTGGGTCTCCCATATGAGTGACAGGGGCTGTTCTTTCAGGCACATAGCAAGGAATTGAAATAGAAATGGAACAGTCAGTATTCAAACCAGCACTCCCATATAGTATG